CATTACAGTGATAGCATTTTAAACACATAATTGGAAAAATAAATGCTCCAATTAGTGCAACTACTCTAAAATAAATGGTTCAACAAATACAACATTTGGACTCGTACAAGTCCATATAAAATTTGTCTGTGTAAAGTATCCATGTGGAAGAAGTGAAGTACGACCATTGTATGCATGCATATAGCCAATGGCAATATAAATTAATGTTGCAGGAGAAGCATGCCACTGTGCTCCAACAAATCACAGCTGGAAAGCAGGAACTTTATGAGTAGATGCCTGTTATTTTTTCAGAGAGTATACCAGGAGCTGTGCAAGTATAATTGCCAACTTCCAGGTGGGGCCTGTAGATCTCCTGGAATTACAGCTGATCAGGTCCCCTGTAGAAAAAGGCTGCTTTGGAGGTCATATCCTCTGGGGAAAATGGCTGCTTTGGAGGGTGGACTCTATGGTATTATACCCTGCTAACGACCCCCCAAAGCTGCCCTCCCCCAGGTATCACCCCAAAATCTCCAGGAATTTCCCAACTCAGAGTTGGCAAACCAATATGCAAACTATTTTGCATACAGCAACATTTAACCTGATCTAGCCTGATCTCATTAGACCTCAGTAGCTAAGCAGGGTTGGCCCTGGTTAGCATTTGGAAGGGGAGCCCACCAAGGAAGTCCAAGGAAGGCAATGGCAAACCACCTCTAAATGTTTCTTGCCTTGAAAACCCTATGTGGTCACCACAAGTCAGCTGTGATTTGATGGCTCTTTCCACCAACATTTGAATGGGTGCTTAGTCATATTCCACTTCCATAAAGGATAACTATATATATCAATATCCCTGTAGATACTTTTAAAATGTTCTGATAAATTACGATTACTTCTGCACTCAAGATTTCTTTGAACACATATACATAAAGCTGACAGAGACCTCAACATTTATTTCATTTTTGTAACCACAGGCAGAGGGGGAAATTATGCGTTAAATAATACCCGAAATCATATGTAGACTCCTAGACTGAATATTATCTTCTAGGGGATCAATGTCGAAGATGGAGCCAGGATCTGTACGCCAAACTTTGAGGTCTTTTCCAAAAAGAAATGAGAGAGGTAGTGAAGAATGTAGAAAAACCAAGGTTCTATAAATTGTTAGGATTTTCATACACACATTTATGTTCTTGTAAAAGCCAAAGTGCCTTCCTTCTACTGACTTTTAAGAATGCTCAGAGAATGATATTATTTTTATAAAGAAATTTATTGATTTTTTATCTCTATGACTAGAGCTGGGAGATTACTGGAATTCTAAAATCACAGAAAAATATATTGTCTACTCTGACTGGCATCAGCTCTACAGAATGTCAGGCAGAGAAAGCTGTTTCCTGACATGTTAACCAGAGGTACCCGGGACTGAACCAGGGGCCTACTGCAAGCAAAACATGTGGTCTGAGCAATGGCCCCTCCCCAGCCATATGACTATGAGTAAATATTTCAGTGTAGATAGACACAAACCCACACACTCTAAATTAACAGAAGGGATTGAACATCTCTATCAGTCCTTTTGTGTCTCAGTTACCATATTATTTTTAAATAAAATGAGGAAGAGTTTTAACAGTGTCAAATTTTCTCATTTAATTTAATGCATTTAATTTCTTATATTACTCAAGCCACACAATACTTTATTTCAGAGAAGGCAATGGAAAAAGAGTTTCATGTTTACTAAATTTGTTTTCTATGGAATTTCACTTATGACAAGTATTTTTGTTGCCTCTTTCTCTACAGGGCTCAGTACCATACTATAGCCCTTTGAAATTTAACCGTACTGGAGATGCTGTCAAACAGCTGATCAGGGCAGACCTGGGCTCCTGCTTCTACCACCCATAGAAAATAAGAGAGCCATTCTTTCCTATGGGCAGTAGAAAGGCCAAGTGTACCTATAGGAAATAATGGCCACATTATTTCCTATGCGTAGACCTGACCTCTCTAGTGCCCATAGGAAATAATGGGCCAATTACTTCCTATGGATGGTAGACCTGACCTCTCTGCTGTCTATATGAAATAATGGCTCCATTGTGTGCTATGGCCAGTAGACCTAGCCTCCAGGTCAGCATCTTCAGTTCCTTTAAATCTTAAAGTGCCATTATTTTTTATGGGGATAGACTTGGGCTCTGATTTTGGAGGCCTGTCTTCCCATAGAAAATAATGACCCTTTAAATTTTCATGAGAGGGAGTTGCAACCCAACAGCTATTTGGCAAGTCCAGCTTCTCCCTGCTCCTGCTGTCTCTGGAGGGGGTGGGGGAATGCAGGACAATGGATAAAATATTCCTGATTTTTTTTTGGGGGGGTGGACTCTGAAAGAAAATCCCAAACTAGTAAAGAGAGTCCTGAAAATTCAGGGTAACAAAAAAAAGCATTCCCTTTCCAAATCTGGATCCAAAATGAATCCTTTTTATATGTTTACCCCTATGCAAAACATCAGCAGCTTTGAGTTAACGATCTTCATTCATTACTCTCTTACCAGCAGCATTCTGTTTGAAATTACTTTACTGAAATATGCTGTAAGCATACATTCAATGACAACCTGCAAGAAGGCCATTCCATCTGACATTCTATTTTCATTTAAAGCTATTTAGCAAAGTAGTTTAAGGCTTTTAATCTGCCACCTTGGAATCACTCCAAAATAAAAATGAAAATACAACTTGTAACATGGTTTTAATATCTGTAACTACATTATATTACACTAGGAAAAAGGCCCATTGTGGAAATAAATACAACGGCCTCTAGAAACAGGCTCTGGGTGGGTGCCCCGGCCTTGGACACTCAGTGTCAATTTGCTGTGGCGACCTCAGCAGGGTATAATGACCCTGATTCCACCATTTTCTCCAGAGGAACTGATCTCTGCTACCTAAATAACAGTTGTCATTTTGAGTGATCTCCAGCCCTCACCTGGAGATCGGCAACGATGGTTCTCCAGAAGGGAATAGTTGGTTTGGAGGGTGGAATCTATGGCTTTGTACCTGTCCGAGGTCCCACGCCTCCTGAAACCTCACCCTCTCCAGGCTCCATCCCTCACATCTCCAGGAATTTCCCACCTGGAGCTGGCAACCCTATCTCCTTCCCAGCCAATTATCAACCTACCTTTATTTCCCCCTCACTCTTCAGCTTTCCACCCCCCACACACCTGCAGCCTCTCCTCTGAAGCCCTGACTGCTACGTCACATTGGCTGTCATATGGGGGCCACCTCAGCAGCATATAAGGATATAGAGCCCACCATTTTCTCCAGGGGAACTGATCTCTGCCATCTGGAAAGCAGTTGTAATTCTGAGTGATCTCCAGCCCTCACCTGGAGATAGGACACATTTTACCTCAGAACAGCAAACTGTTTAGAACGTTAGAGGCAAAAGCCAATCAAGTCACATATGCAAACGACCTCTGTGTTCCGAGGCAAAGGCCAATAAGGCTGCATATGCAAATAACCTCTGTGTTCTTACTGGCTATGGGGGGCAGAGAAACAGCAAACTGTTTAGAATGTTGGAGGCGAGACTCAAACAATGCAGCCAGTGGATAGGGACAGATTCTGAGTGACACACCAGGGCGCCAACCAATTCCAGAGCGTGTGGAATGTTCTAGAGAAGTGCCACCACCATTCGGCTTTTATTTATAAGGGAGATATGTGCGGTTATTCAGACTGAATCTGTCAAATGTCCCCACTAAGTCTGTTCTGGTTTTGATTCTGACACTGGGACTGGGGGGGGGTAGACAGTGTATGCTTATATGTCAAAACAGAGATTAATAAATATAAACAGAGATTAATAAAATATAAATCTGGGTGCAAGGCATTGGGTTTGCTGATCTACAATGCTATCCTAAAAGTAGTCAAACTGTTCTAAGCCCACTAACTTCCACTAACTTAGAAGGGTGTAGATCAGTTTAGAATCGCATTAAATTGTTAATTACTTAAAGGCTATGGTTGCAGTGAGAAGCAACTATCTAGAAAGTCCCATTATGTTAATAATAGCATCCAGGGATCCATATGTGAATTACTATCTGAGGATATGTGGAATATACACCTGGAATGACTAATTATATTTTGAGAAGTTATTACTTTTCAAACTGATGACTATGACAGGCATATCCTTAGCACCACACATCCTATTTATTATCACAACTGTGTTAAAATGAAATATAGCAAAAAAAAAAAGATACGTTTAAGGTAATGCTGAAAAATGGAAGCAGAAACATAACTGCACCATTCTGATTTTCCAAAGGTCCTAAGTGGAAGTAGCACTTTAAAAGTACATGAAATTGTTCATTATTTCTTCTCTTCATAAATTACCTAAATACTGTCAAACATTGGAAGAATAATTTTGGGATTTTTCAAATTACCCTGATAACGCAAATGAAAATTTTCAGCACCCAAGGCAATACTACATTATTAATTTTCCTCTCAGTACACAAGATAATTCTTATAACTGCCAAATAAAAAATGTATCTTTTCCAAAAATACAAATTTCCCCCCCACACAATGAAAACATGAAGCTAAATTCCAGTTGAACTGATCTAAATGAAAATGGCAAATGGCAATTTATTCTGTGACTGCTTACATTTTATAAAAGAAAGTTTGAATTGTTTAATAATCTGCCCTCTGAATTAGCAATTTAAGTACTTTTTATATTACCCCTCCATTTTCTTTTACCTTTTGGCCTCTGTAGAGCAAATTAATATCTGATTAAAATCCATTTTCTCATCATCTGTTGTGTTAATTAATCTTCTCATTACTTCAGTTTTGCAGGAGACAATTATTCTCCAATGACACAAAACTGACCTATCATTTTAATCTGTTTTTAAAAAACTCATACGAAACAAAAAAATACATAACTTTACATATTAACACTACAATTAGACAGAACAAACATTAATATTAGGGCAAGATTATTCTTCTCACTAAGGGAACTATCAGCAGAGCTGGCCTACAGAGAACCATTTCCACCAGTAAAACATACAGTATTCACTTACCCACAATGATTCCAGGTCTTCTGTCCATTTCAACTATATGTGGGTGAACCCCTTTATATGCAGCATCACTAACCACCTGGGTATTTCTTCTCACCCGTTCAGTCACAGGATCATCAACTACTGGTGTGAAACCTCTGCCTTTTGTCTTCTCAAAATCTTCATGGTATTTGATCTGCCACAGAGGAAGAATTATCCAATTATTATTACTCAATAACCAGGAGTATTGAGTGGCATAATATGAAGAATCATCTTTATTTCTGCCAAATATTTATTTGCTTATTATCCAAGCAATTAATAACCACCATGCAATGCTTCATTACCAAAAGATATTCCACTATGCATGTGCCAGCTTTCTTAACAGTATCTCTGAAGTCTTTTTTTAAAAAAATACTTAATATAAAAAGTGTCATGCTGTTTAATATGTTTAATATTAACCAGTTACATTCACGTGCAAGTGACAACACTAAAGCCCTTCCACAGCACCATATGTTTCATACAAATTCAAATATGGTAAGAACAAATGCTTCATAACAAAGTGTTAGGATCAACCAGTGCAAAATTTCAGGACCAACCCTGAACAGGTGTTACCAAGGCATTAGAAATACTTTTATAATTTTTAATATGCACACACACAGAGTACCTTAAGTTATCATTTATACTAAAAACTCACACATACACTATCTTGCAAGCAAATTCAATCAGCACAACACATTCAGAATTCCATTTGCACACACAAATCAGAAGCATGCACAAGGCAGTGTGTGTGTCACCTCTCCAGTTACACTCTGAGATGCTGAAACAGAGAGGAACCATGTGAAGTATTAAAGAAGCCACACAGTGAGTTGTTAGGAAAACAATTTTATTAGTACAATGAAACTAAAATAATTACAACATTTATATACAGTTAACTACTTCATCCCTTTAGCTGCTAAATACTTTAAAGGACCGTGTTGCTGGTTACCTACATTAATGAGGACAATCCACTCTACAGCAAAATGTTGCTCTTTAGAACACTTTAGCCACATGAAAAATGTACCCTACCATTGAGATGTTGTTTTGTGTCTCTTTGGCATGCCTTAGCTCAGGTGTGTCTAGAATCACACTAGGTCTACCTCTCATCTTTTGCTGATCGCTGCTGTACTTGACCTGTAAAAATACCACATGATCACTGGCCATGAAGCTTCATGAAAATACACTTGACAGCATATAAAATTCTATCCCCAAACTAAAAAGGGGACTGGCAACTGGCACTTTACCCATGTATCTATTAAAGTGATTTTAATCTTGGCTACAAACTGCACCACCCAAATGATTAAATACAATACACAAAACTTTATGGCAGACTGACAACTTCATCAGGAAATAAACTTGATGAAGACAAATTGTGACAAAAGGAAATTCTCAGATTTACTAATAAGTGATTATTCATATTTGATTTCTGTCAGTATGAACTTTAGGAATAAAACTTTCTAAAGAATGTTTAAAAGATTAAAAAATCCTGCTTAATGGTGTACATCATAGAAAGGATAAATTAGTTACTTATCGAAAACCATAACATTCAACAAGAACCACCAAAAAACTTGCCGAGCTGATAATCTCTTGATTCTTCTTGACTCTCTCAATTTCAGGAGTGACACTCACAGAAGTAGCTTTGCCAAGCTGCCCTTTATAGTAAACCTATTAATTTATAAAACAAAACACAAAGTATAGCATTTCATGTGAACTATTACTGTGTTTGTATTAAATGCCACTTGGGACTAAAACTGGAGATTTTTCAGATTGCTTATACATTTAACAAACTATGTATAACATAATTTGTTATTAATATATTTCATCCACAAAATGTGACCACAGAGATGTAAGATGTACATTGGGTGCCCATCTTTTACCGGGAGTGCTGGTACTTATCTTTAAAGCCTGAAAGGGTTTGCAACTGGGACACCTGACGTTCCATCTCCTTCTGTATTGTCCAGCTAAAGGTCCTTCTCATGTATTGTTCCTTGTGCCCCTGCCTATGTAAAGGAGGTGGGTGGCAGCCACAGATGGTAGCTACATTACTACTTTTTAGGAACCAGGCCAAAATGTCGTTGTTCAGTCATGCTTTGGATTGCACTTTATCTCCATGCTTTTTATTGCTTTTAAGCCCTGTTTGTGGCCCCAGCACCAAGGGGAGGGTGCAGGGTAGGCTGCCAAAGGGGGGGAACCCCGTTCCTTGTGCTATCTTAATAATTTTATGATCCATGTTTGAATAACACATGCACTACTTGATCTATCTATCTATCTGTCTATCTATCTATCTATCTATCAATCATCTATCTATCATCTATCTATCTATCTATCTATCTATCTATCTATCTATCTATCTATCTATCTATCTATCACTGCTCATACAACGGAAGCCTTGAGCAGAAAATAAAATTATAAAATAAGACAATGTCATTCTTAATGTTATTCTTCTGTTGTTTAATTATTGCCCCCATAAATTCTGCCACAGAGAGAGTAACAAAATCATCTATATATCTAATTCCCAACAGCCCCCTATGTTCGGATACTTATTTCCACAAATCTGGGGGATGTGGAGGGTCAACAGATGTTCCTGCACACTTGAGGCGCTCCCCAGGTGTGCAGAAAAATCTTAGATGTTTCAAAAAGTATACAGGGGGTACTTAAATTCCCCCAAAACTACAACTGCTTGCTCTGGTCATGCACAGGCAGCTCACTCACTGAGGCACGGGAACAGCGCGAGGGAAGTCATGACGCCACTAACCATCCCCGCTGATGCTCCAACTGCCACAGCAGCAACAAGCATCCCTGCACAGAGAATGGACTTAGCCTTGGGAACTGTGGCTGCCGTGCAAGGAAGCTCTGGGTACTTCAGGGACCTCACCTCAACACTGCCCCCCCCCATTTCTTCTGTCTGTTTGGAATTAGTGATGAGGACGCTGAGCACAGCTCTGACCCTGGCCACACTTTGCCCATTTCATCTTTCTCCTGGTGAAGGGTTGCCAGCTGGCCCTGGTCTCCTCCCGCTAATGCTCCGTTTCAAAGCCAAAGAGCCAGCGCTGTCCAAAGACATTTCTGTGGTCATGTGGCCAGCATGACTAAACACCAAGGCGCATGGAACGCTGTTACCTTCCCACTGAAGTGCTACCTGTTTATCTACTTGCAATTTCTTGCTTTTGAACTGCTAGGTTGACAGGAGCTGGAACTAGAGACGGGAGCTCACTCCGTCACTCAGGTCTCGAACTGCTGAACTACCGACCTTCCACAGCCTGCAGTTCAGCATCTTAACCACTTGAGCCACCATAGCACCTTTAAAGACTAACAAAATTATTGTCGGGTATGTGCTTTTGTGAGTCACTGCTCACTTCTTCAGACTTATTTCCATTTATTCTTTGCATCCTCCTGGACTGGATTCTCCTGTACCAAACTGAGACCAGAGTTTCCTGTCCCATTACCAATGCTGATATCTCTTTGCCTCTGTATATCACACCAATGCTGATATCTCCACCCCTCTCCATATCACACCTTATCCAATCATGCCTGCCATTGCCATTCGGCATCTGAAATCATCTTTATAAAATTTGTATCTCTGGTACCTTGTGTTACATTTTATGGCACACATGGTCTGGCCTGACAAAGAGATATTTATGTCAGATCTGGCCCTTGTAACAAATGAGTTCGACACCTCTGATGTAAACATATTTACTTTAACAAGAACAAACTGCCATGCACAGCTGTTCCTGGACAAACTCAGTAGAGCTCAGTGGGCATTTGGATATTTTTGACTGATTTTTCCATGGTTTTATCTGTGATTGTTCAATGCCCCACCTTGAGCTCTGGATCAGTATAAACTCTCAAATAAATAAATAAAATCTACATTATAACTCCAAAATCTATACAAAGAAAACTTTGTCCAACAGCTATGTTTAACATGTAAAACATTTTTAAGAGGCAAAGGTTTTCATACTAAAACATTTACCCTGGAACAGATCTTAACAACAACAACAATAATAATAATTTATATTGTTACTACTACCACTATTATTATTTTTAGGACAAATTAATAATTAACATTACCAAAACTTACTGTACTGATATTTTTCTGATTTTTCTTTACTCTCTCAATCTCAGGAGTCTCTTTTACTGCTGTGCCAGCACCTACTCCCTTTTTATAGAACACCTTCATTAAATAAAATAAAAAATAATTATGTGCTTGTTTTTAAAAAGTAGGCAATATTCCAAGAACTAATTTGGACTGCCCTTACTGTTGATGTTTAAAGCTTCCATAAGTCAGTTCAATTATCACAGGAACTAATAATGTTTTAATCTCATTTTCTTTCATTTATAGTGTCTGCTGAAAACTCACATCATTTTACTCATTTTTTCAGAATTCTGTAATGGGAGATTTACAATGTTGAAGAATTACTTCTGCACTAGAATGCGTGCAAGACGATCAAAGCTGAATCAAGGCAAGATCCAAGTGATGGTTTGCAGAACCACATCAGCCAGAAGGAGAGGGAAAATTATCACTTGTGGACTTCAGATTATTATGGTCATGTTGATTTATACCTTTAAGGTGCTCCTGAACACAATACAAAGCTCAGAATTTCATGATTTCATGCCTGTTACCATCTTAGACCAGACAAATGTCCTTCATGCTTATGCAGTTACTGTTATAGCACAATGCAGTTTACACTGTCTTGAAAACAGGTGGAAGCATACACCTGTTATAAAACATGACAGTTCGTTTCTTGATAGGGGTTGACAAGCAATACTATAATATTACACGTATTATTCTAGCATGTTGCTGGACAAAACCATGGTGCTCATCTGGACCTCTCTCTACAACAGCTTGCTCTGAACATACCTAGAGGGAGGAAAACTTGTAATAAGGAAGATCTTGTTTTAGAAATGATGTCTAACCTTCAGGATTTAAGCATCTCTGAACCAATCCAAAATACTATTTAGTATTTTAATGAGCTTCCAATTCAAGGTGGGATGAGCTTTCAACTCAAGATGGCACTTTCCAACACTGGGGGGGAGGGGTTCTAATGCTCCCTAGAAATACTCTAGATGACTTTCAAACCAAGAATGGGAAACTGCACTGGATTTTCAGCCCCTCATAACAGAAAAAAATGAAACTTCTTTGTCTCAGTATCTAACAAACTA